GGCTTGTAATTTTGTCTCGTCAAGCTAGCTAAATCCCATGTAACATCACCCACATCTCTGTCGTGAAAGCATCATACAAACCAATTTTTTGCACATAGCCTTTCACCCAATTTCCATAGGACTTTTGAGCAAACGTCCACATCTTGCAGTGGAATTCGATTTTTTGTACACATTGTCACAATTGAGTTTAATCCAATTTCCTTCGGGGGTGATACCATTAGACATACTTGATTTCTAGTGCTGAGGATCTAACATTGTTCTGAACCCGAATTCCAGACTCGGTCTCTTTAACCAGATACATGATCGTTTCAGTTGGGTTGACTGGTCTTTAAAAGCCTTCTTCAAACACATCTATGTTTCTCCACTTCCATAAATACCAACATGAGATCATAAAAATTGACCTCTAATGATCTTTTTACAACTCAATAGTATTTCATTTAAGATTGTAAGAGATTCAATCCCTGCAAGTCAAAGAGTAAAAATGAGTTATCTTGTCAGAAGGAACAAGTTTAATTCATACTTATGTTGCATAAAAGCAATCCTAGACACATGAATTAAGTTTTTTCATTGTTTGTACACCAGTCGCAGTTACCAGAGATAGTATGGTTACACCTGTGGCGCTGATCGTTAGTCAAAAGTCTCTTATGATACATAAGCCAAGTAAATGTTTGAATTCAGTGGGGGTCCTTTCCACTTCCAGATGTTATTTCAGCCCCTTTTGCTTCCACTGAATTTGGATGAGGAGAAAGATAATTATAAGATTACCCACCGTAAAACCTTTGTCATTATAATTCCTCAATCCTAGCTTATTGATACCATTTTCTAGGAGAGATGGAGGGATAGCCATAATACAATTAACTAGCTCACCAATGAACCAATTCTTAAGCAACTCTAAGTTTCACTACCCTTCCATATTAACTATGTCTTTAACTTTAGGGTGGTATTCACAATTGTATCTGCTTGAGTGAAATTAAAGAAAAGTGGCTACTTTATTGGGGTCCACCTATCTAACCAAAAATTAACCCATCTGCCATCCTCAACCTTCCACCTAATATTCTTCTGAAACTTGTCCCACACCTTAGTCAACAATCTCCATAAAGGGGAATCATTCGACATGCTTATCATATTATCCAACATGTTTTGCTTCCTATCATACTTGTTGATGAGAACCTGACCCCACAAGTCATTAGGATTAGTCAATAAATTCCAAAAAAAAATTAAACACGAAAGCATCATTCATTAACTGGATTTGTTTGATGCCTAAGCCATCTTGATCCTTAGGCATACAAAACTAATCAGATGAGATTTGCAGGACGTATATGCGTCTTCCCAAATAAACTCTCTTTGTAACTTCTCTAAATTTTGACAAATTGTGGTGGAGATTCTAGCATGCTTCATATGAAAGTACGTGATAGAACTTAACACTGATTTGAAAAGGGTAATTCTTCATCCCAAACTCAAGCATTGATGCTTCCAGCCACTCGGCCACCTTTGAATCTACTCATTAATATTACAAAATCTATTCCTATAGGTTTTACCATAAGTAATGTTTGTTCCCAAATACTTTCCCAAGCTTTGGGCTTCTCTGAATCATGTGTGTTGCATAATCTCTTGCCAGAACTAGTCATCCGTATTTGCTAAAAAAATTAATTTGAGTCTTCTCAGAGTTAATCTTTTGGTCGGGTGCCTGTCATAATTGATCAAGGCAATGCTTGATGCAATAAGACTACTATATTATGACCTTTGGAAAAAGAAGGAGGTCATTCGCAAAAAGAAGGTGAGAAACCTGAAGTCTCTCCCACCCTGCTTTCATAGGCTTCTATTACCCTACATCAACCTGGTCAACAATAATATTGGACAAATGATCTATACAAATAACAAAAAGATAAGGAGAAATGAATCTCATTGATGAATACTTCTAGATGGAGCAAAGTTATCAAGCTTGTCCCCATTCCACAAAATTTTGAAGGAAGAAGAGGAAATACACTCATAAATTAAATTAATTAATTCTTCGAGAAACCTACAATCCTAGTGACACTGGGAAATATACTTCCAATTCAATTTGTCATATGATTTCTCCAAATAAATATTTATCGATATAAAATCCTATTGAGTTTTAATTCTCTTCATAACATAGACCATCTTTTGATCTATAATAATATTACGATGAATACTCCTTATAGGGATAAAGCTAGACTGATGTAATGAAATAATATTATTTAGTATAAGCTTCACTCGATTCAAAATAATTTAAGTAATAATCTTATATATCACATTATAAAAGACAATGTGACAAAATTGTTTAAGAAAATCTAGTTGCTCGATCTTAGGAATGAGAACAAGAATAATATTTTTTTTGTTTAGCCAACCAAGGAAGGGTCACCCTAACATAATGATGTAAGGTCGTCCCCACCGTATCCCAAAAATGCTAGAAAAAAGAGTTAGGAAACCATCTTCACCTGAGGCCTTGTGTGAGTTCACATAAAAAAGCACATTCTCAATCTTAAGTCTGGAAGGGACAATACATAGAATAACTTGATGATCCTCCAAATAAGTAGGATAAGTGAAAAAGGAAACTATTGGCTCCCTTATCTCTTAGTCCTCTTTAAAGAGCGTAGAGAAATGTTACATCACCATCTCCTTCATTTTCTTCGAGTCGCATTCCTACTCTATACTTTTTCTTCTAAGAGTCATGATTTTATTCCTTATTCTATAAATAATGGTCTTTAAATGGTAATATTTAGTGTTCTTATCCCCATCAGTAATCACTTACCTCTCGATTTTTGAAACCAAAACTCTCTTTTTGGTAAAGAGTTTGAGCTATTTGGTCTTGAAGATTTCCTTCCAAAGCCTCAAGATATCTATTATAGCCGTAATGAGCATTATTTTGAATATCATTCAACCTAGATATGATCTATTTCTTATGCCTTAAGATATTACCAAAAGTGTCATTGTTCCACTTCTGAATAAGAGTAGTCAAACCATCTAACAGAGACGCTAACTCCACTTCTCCTAAATCCAAGGTCCAAAATTATCATGCATAATCCAAGTCGCCTCAAATCTAAATGGACGATTGAAATTATAAGAAGGATCCCCCTATATCATAATAATTATCGAATAATGGTCTGACTGGATACACGACAAAACTTTTGCAAATCCTTCAAAAAAAATTGAGTATCCATTCAACATCATAGATGACCCGGTCAAACCTTTTAAAAATGCATTCTCTTCCTTTCCACCTGGGCCCTTTCCATGCAAATTTAGAGCCCGCAATGGTTACATCCATCATGTGACAATCATTAACTCAATTTCCAAACTCTATGGATATAGAGAGGTTAACTCGCAATCCCTCTTTCTGCTTCTCCAAACTCATAATTTCATTAAAATCCCCTAATATCAACCAAGGATAAGAAATGTTCACAGCAATATGCTTAACCTCTTGTCACATCACCATTCTCTCCACCTCTCTAAGACTGATATAAACCATTAATAATAACTCGCTATGATCATTACCACAATTAACATGAATGTGCAAGAAATGCTAATTTTTCTGGATCTGGATGATATGTAAATTATCCATGTTCCACATTATCCAAATACCTCTAGCATACCCACAAACATATATCCTCATATTCTTGCGGAACCCAAGCCTTTTAATAGTATTACTGGCCTTAATCCCGTTACATTTTCTCTCTTGAAAGGTTAATATATCCATTTTATAACTACTGCAATAAAATTTGATTGCTATGCCAAAGTTTATTTCTTGAACACCTGTACAATTCCAAAATAAAATAATCATTAAAATAGCAAAATGAAAGACACCAAATCAATGTATTTACTCATCTTATAAAATTTGCATGAGTAACACCATGTTGGATAGGGTGAAGGAGTATGATAATAGTCAATCCAAAGAGATAGTTTTATACCAAAAGGAGACTAGTTGGATAAATGTGAAGTGGGAGGCTCTGCGGGATGGTTGGGTGAAATTGAACTCAAATGGAGTCAAAATAGATAAAAGAGAAGCAGGTTGTGGGAGGATTATCAAAAATAATAAAGGAAGTAATTGTGTTCCATAGAGCTGTATGCTATTTTTTTTTTCTTTAAGCTTAGGCTCTCTTTTGTAATAAAAAAAATTGCTCACCTCATCTAAATTGTTCTTTTTTTATCATCATTCTTCTTTTCATTGGTAGGAAGCTCAATATGTTATCATTGTTTTGCAAGTTAATTTTGTCACTTGAAAAAACTAACAAACTCAGGGTACATATAGAGGATGTAGAGTTCTTATAGAGAAGAGCATTGTGGTGTTTTGTATGCTCTAAATTATTATTATTTAAATTAGAGATAGAAAAAAATGCCTATTATAAGTTAATTATTCAATATCATACATGGGGTCGTGATTAACATGAGATTTGCTACTAATATCAATGTGGGGGCCATTTTTAAAATTTTGGTGAGGAGATAAAAATTCAGACTGGTTTTTATTGATATGATTAGAAGAAAAAAAAAGTTTGATTCTTGCTATTGTTATATGCCGTCAATATTAAAAATTTTATATTATAAAGTTTATCATAATCATTCGTATGCATGATAATGATGAGTAAAAGAATTAGGTTTTTTTGACACTAAAACCATTTTCCACATAGAGATTTAGTTTTGATTGTTTGAGTTATTTGTGTGAGATCAAATTGTTACATTACATTTACGTGATATCTAAGCAATTTATACTAATTTTATTCCAATAGTAATTTGAATAAATAATCTACATAGGCCTAATCAATTAATTTAGGTTAATATTTAAAAATAATAATAATAATAATTGAATTGATGTTCTACTAATTTGATTACCCGGCAAAAGAAAATGTTTTACTAAATTTCCTAATAATCCTTTCAATTTGGATCTTACCCGAAGCTCTGAGTTGTTAAGCGCGTGGTTGCCCAACTCAACGCACGCGTGGCATTAACACCGTTTTGTCCGCCGGCGCTAGGGTTCGGAGTCAATAATGGCCGATACACACCCGACGCCGACGGAAAGCGTAACACCCTCAACTGCATCAGCGTACCTTAACCCTTCCTACTGGTAGGTAATAACCCAAGCTTCTTAACATCTTTATTGATAACTTTTTCTGAATTTCTGAGAATTTTATGCTTCAGGGATGAGAGATTCTCGAAGGAGGAGAAATATGAGTGGTTCAAGGATTATTCCCATTTCCGGCACATCATTCAACCCCATCTCACACCCAATTCCTCTGTCCTGGAGCTTGGATGTGGAAACTCACAAATGTGTGATGGTTTGTATAAAGATGGAACAACCAACATAACTTGCATTGACCTTTCACATGTTGCAGTCAACAACATGCAAAACCGTTTGCTTTCTCAGGGATTTAAAGGTTCATTTTATCTTCCATGCCTTTCCTTCTATTTTGCAATCCATTCAATAAGATCAGAGTAAATTAAAGGTTAAATTATCTTATGAAGAGTTTTGCCGCCTATTTTGGTCTTACTCAGCTCGAGGGATTAATCTCTGCACGCAAGTGCAGAGGATACCGGTTTATGAAAAAAATGCTAGGAGTGTAGGGTTTTACCTTGGTGCATAAGCAGGGCCGTCTTAAGTTTTGTTTTCAGAGGCCTTCTTAAGTTTTTAGGAGGTTCTGTGTAGGTTAATTGTGATTTTAGTATGGAAAATCAAATAGAGGCCCTATTTAGCCCCAGTTTTGTTGAAAAAAACAAGTCTGAGTAGGAAGTGTTGAGAGAAACAAGTGTGGGAAAGTCCCACGTTGATTGTAAAATAGAGATCGAACACTTTATAAGTGAGAACACCCACACGCTTATTACCTTAAGGTTTTGGGTGAATATGTGGTGTTTCTTTCACAAGGTGTGTTGCTCATACACACAAAGTGTTGTACGTGTGAATGAAGTGTTTGATGTTGTGTCTATGAAAGTACTTCCTATGTGCTATATAGCAAAGTATCATAGTTAGATATAAGAGCTTCATCGTTAATACATAAATTCTTAAATCTAAACAATGGAAAATGAAAATGTCATCTTCTTTGTAGGGTTGGAAAGTGTATATTTAAGTTTTTTTCCGCAACCTTACTTTGTGTAATTGGTATTTTGGTAGATATGAATGATCGATTTGTTTTCTATATGTTTTTTTTTGTTGACTAAGTGTCGATATTAACTTTCTCAAGATCTGATTATATTTTGTTCATCTTTTGTGTGTGGAATTCTTAATTTTTCATTTGTTTGCAATTGTGATTATTAGACATAAAAGTGATGCAAGCTGATATGCTAGAGCTACCTTTTGAGGATGAGTGTTTTGATTTGGTTATTGAGAAAGGAACTATGGTAAATTAGATGATTTTCCTTTCACCTATAACGAAATTTTGGCCCAACACTCTAAACTAATTGTTATGATTCCTACATCTTCTAAGCTTGAGCATTAAATGTGAGTATGTTAACCTTGACTTTGAAGGATGTATTGTTCGTGGATAGTGGTGACCCATGGAATCCAAAGCCGGAAACTATGTCCAAGGTCATGTCCACATTGAAAGGTGTTCACAGAGTATTGAAAGAAGATGGCATATTTATCTCAATAACTTTTGGCCAGGTTTGAAGAATGAACTGTTAGTCCTTGTGTCTTTTGTTGGGTCCTGCCTTTATTCTAATCTGCTTAAAATTCATGCCAGCCACATTTCAGGCGCCCTATATTTAATGCACCAGATTTCACCTGGTCTGTGGAGTGGACTACTTTTGGTGAAACCTTTCACTATTTTGTTTATGTTCTAAAAAAGGTTAGTCATCCATATAGCCTCATTTTTCATTTTTTCTTTGATACTAAAAACAATTGTCTGTTGCTATATTATTGAGGTACAGCATCCAAGGCTTGAACAAAATCCTCAGATATCACGTTATAAAATTGGTTCTCAAATGATAAATATTAAATACTATCACCAGTTTTGTACTTCTATGATAATTTGATGTCAAATGAAAAACTAACTTATTAGCAAAATATCTCGTTGAAGGACCAATTTGATGTGTGCTCTTGTATATTCTTCGCAAACTTATTGGATTTATGAACAGAATAATAGAACCAATGCAATTTCACATATAAGTTTGGAAGTTCAAAATAGGCATATAATCTATTTTCTACTATTAAAAAGTAAAACAATTTTGTCATCAAAATAGGCACGAGAACTGATTTATGCAGTGATATAGAAAATCTCTATATGTTTCATGATAATTATAATTTCATTGTGAAAATGACATGAAGTTGATAAGGACTGCAATTCATATGCACATGGCTTTACTGTTCTGTATCTCTGTTTTAACTATGATGGATGGACATTTTTCAGGGACAGAGGTCATCATATGAAGATATACAACCTGTGAAGAGGTTTGAAGTGCCGTCTTTTAATCTGCTCCATGAGGAGTTAGAAAGTGAAGATTTTACTTTTCTAATCAATGTTGATGAGTTGAACAGTTAGGCAGTATTGTATGAAATTTTGTTACCAATTTTAAATGCTTTACCTTGCTGCAATTTTGATCCATTTACTTTGAAGTAAGAATACTATTGTCTTAAAAGATTAATGTTAGCATACTGATGTACCAAAGTAGTAATTCTAGTTCTAGTTTGTTGAAATTTGAAAACTAAGTGAAACAATATTCAAATTTCTTCTATATGGAAAAGCAATTTACGAAGTATACTAAATTTGTTGTAGGGGAAATACTTAATGCACTATATGAATTACTATCACATCCTTGGAAAAATACAATAATACCATCAGATTTTAGAAATATATCTTCGGACTATCACAAACATACAACTAATACAACTAATGAAGAGTTGTATTTTCAGAGCATACTGAAGGAGAAGCAAACAGAGAACCAAAAAATGCAGCTTGGCAAATAAAAATTAGCATTGATAATATAAAAAAACAAAGCATTGATAATATAAAAAATAAAATATTACTGTTAATATAAATCAAACATTACATTTTAAGATCTAAGTGGACATTTTAACATCTTTATAATATCTTCGACTGATCTCGAAATTGTTGCATCCATTTTAATTTGAACTTTTGTTTCAAAACTGAAAAAGTATTCCATATAGTCCTTAAATTTGCACCAGTCTTCAACTCAAAGTTGATGAATTCACTCTTCTTTTTTTTGTCAATCGGCAGTAAACAGTATTCGAACTTCACTATTTTTCGATTGTCAGAGCACAGTAGAAGGTTTTGTAGTATGTATTTCAGATATCCAAGAAGGGTGTACTCATTGAACTTAAATTCAAGTAGAAGATTTTGTAGTATGTATTTCAGATATCCAAGAAGGGTGTACTCATTGAACTTAAATTCAATTGAGGGCTTCAAGTTGTTGTAGTATGTATTTCATATATCCAAGAAGGCTGTACTCATTGAACTTAAATTCAATTGAGGGCTTCAAGTTGTTGTAGTATGTATTTCAGATATCCAAGAAGGATGTACTCATTGAACTTAAATTCAATTGAAGGCTTCAAGTTGTTGAAGTAGACATATGTGACATGTCAATTGATCTTTATTATAGTGTAATGTGTTTTGATATGAAACATGAGACAAGAGACCATACTTATAGGGGATGCTTCGAAAATGAATCTCAGGGACCACCCTGTTATTTTAATATGAAGATGTATTTTCGAAACCACTCAAAACAAAATGAAATTCTATTCCAGACAAAAACATAATCTGTATTAAATGCATACCTTTTTTTTTGCAAACTTTAAAATATATTAAAATATTAAAAAATGTGTTTATATATATATATATATATATATATATATATATATATATATATATATATATATATATATATATATATATATATATATATATATATATATATATATATATATATATATATATATATATATATATATATATATATATATATATATATATATATATATATATATATATAAGATTACATATAATACATTGTTGAATAAAAACTAAAATGAACCGAAATATTTGTCGTCGGCTAATTCTATATGTATGGGTGGTACCCCCTTTCACTTTTGTTTATTTGACTTTCTTTCAATCTCGCTCAATTTGGTGAATTGTTGCATTCTTTCCACAAGATGGTTCTGTCAAGTCTCAACTTTTGTTGTTGAATGAATTATTCAGTCTGGTGATGTAAATGGCATAGGGCATCCCGATTTAAAATCAGCTTCAACAAAGTGCCGCGAATTTGAAATCCACGCAACAGAGATAATATGATCATTTGGATTTTGAGGTGGGGCAATGCGCAGTGGAAAATGATTATGAAAAACCATATGTTGTAAGATCAATACATGCTCTTTCATATGCACTTGCTATGAGATGACCCATTTTAAGAAAACACGTTCATTTATCCTCCGATGTAGGTCCGTTAATGCAAGAAACAAGAGATTTATAAATTGCATCAAAAGTTGCTCTTTTTTTCTCTCCGTATAACCGTGTGTATGATTCTTGATTAACCCTCAACTCTTGGATAATTTGATGGTGGACAAGTATGTGATTCTCTTCTCCTTTATGGAGCAAAGCAGAAACAACTTAAAAGCCACGATTACTGTTACCCTTAACATTGTCGATCCGTTTAATGTATTTGTGCATAAAAACTGACATCTCTTTAATGAATGTAATATTTGGTGGAGACGGTGAATGCAGGTGGTTTGATAATACGAACTCATTTGAATGCAATTTTTTGAGATTTTGGAGTTGGAGAATCGGGAAAAACTTTGTTAACATATTCAAAATATGAAGAAGATCGTGTCATTGAATTGTCACTCAATGTAGGTTTGACTTTCTTAGAATCACCTTTTGTTTTTACCGGTTGAAAAGGTGGTTTATAGTATGTGGTTTCCGGATAAGCAATCTTTCTCAATTACTCTTTGATGTGGAGTTTCAAAATGTCATAGTCTTTCATAAATCTCTCTTGTATCACTTTTCATTTGGTCAAGATATAGATATTTGATTTAATGTTTTTTTCATGACACCATCTTCATCAAACTCGAGCCTTTTCTAGTTAGTGTAAAATTCAACCATTCGTATCAGGCTATAAAGTTTCACCTTTTTAGATATAAGACAAGCACAAAGGAGACCATAGAGTTAAATAAGTATGCAACCATACTTTGAGCTATTGGAACCTACATTCTCAGCTTGTTTAGCTTTGTGAAAAATATAATTCAGGTTTACTTGAGATATGTTGTCTACCAAATGAGAACAAAGATTGTTGTCTTTGAATCTGTGTTCCAATACTATAATGTTGCAGTAAAATGATGTTCGTATCTCATTATGCTGATTTTGTATCATTTGGTTCACAAAGTCTCAATATTTACACAAATCACCCTTATTATTTCCCAACCAATTCTTCAGTGTTGCATGAGCAGACTCAACTCGATTAGTTGTTGTATTTCCAAGGCGCCTAACCTGACCGATCCAAGCACAAAATTTTTTTTCCTTCACCTGATCCAGAATTGTACTTTCAACATATTTCAACAAATTTGGATATTTCTCGCAAACCTTCCTGAAACGTGTAACAACATCGACATATAACTCTTTTTGTAGAAGAATTTATTATAACATTTCATACATCCATTATTTTTTCCATTATCACGTCCTCCTTGACCATTTTTCCATCTTCGACCTTTATCTATTTCGTCCTTACCGTGGATTTAACCCAACTTTTCACATTCTTTATTATGTAATACCTACAAAGTAATGCATAAGAAGTAGAAAATGTCTTTCTAATCGAATTCATCAAAGCAATATCGTGGTCAATAACAATTACTTTTGGTATGTCTTTTTGGTCTTTCAACATTTCTTGACACACATCTAAAGCCCAAGTAACATTTTTCTTTTTTTTTTCTCTCTCTAGAAATGCAAACCCGACAAAATAAGTCTTCTCAGTAGAGGTAACATCAACAATTTCCAATAATGGAAGTCTGTACTTATTGGTCTTATATATTGAATCAATAACGAGCACAATAATAAACGCCTTGAACAGCTTGATGGAATCAGGATGAGTCCAAAATATATCTCTAACAGTTACTCCATTTTTGCACGTTCGGTACCTAGATACATAACTGTTATCACTCAAAAGTTTCAAGAGTTGTTGCATTTCAATTTTATCCCCCATAACGCCTTGTTATTTTGGGCCCAAATATTGTGTACTTGCCTAATATTTGCAATATTTTCGGGTCTTTTACATTCCAAAGTTGCAAGTATATTTTTCGGTTGCACCATATTCAATGTCATGTCTAAAATGCATTCCTTCTCTTTCGGTATGAGGCGACATGCAATTGGATGACCGACTAACTTTTCACACATGTCATGGTTATGTAAACCACATATCACATTAAATATCTATTTGTTATTTTCCAACAGATAATCACACAACTAAGGGATATTCACATTTTCTTGAACCGACGTCATCTCGTTTGAAATTTCAGAGAGGAATTTTATACTTCTCACTCCTTTTGCATATCATTGTCACAAATGCACCTCTTTTATGTGAATCATTATTAGACCTTATGATTACAACATCAAACTCCAATTTGGATACATCCGTACGAATATATTGAAGCATGTGATCACAAAATTCAAACTCTTGTCCATTTGTAAAACTGTTGCAAACATTTACCTCTTTCACAACAACATATTTTGCATCTAGAGACACAATAAATTTGGGGAAAACATCGGGGTGCACCATATCTAATGAAAACATTAACATAAAATGTTTTAAAATAGATGAAATTGAAAACAGATTGGTGGCAAATGAAAACAAACAGACTCCAAAAATGCATTTCTGGAGGAATTCATACAGAATCCGGAAATACATTTTCGGATACGACGTAAGCTTTATCAGTTGAAAACAAGATTAATGTGACCAATGAAGCTTGAAATAAACAATCTTTACCTTGATTTTCAACTTCTTTTACTCCTTTTTATGTGATGAAATACAAGAATGAAGAGTTGGAGTGAAAGTCTTGATTAAGAATGGAAGAGTTTTTTTGAAAGGATTTTGAGCAAAATGGGTATAGGGTCTGATCATGCAAGTGGTCGTGTTATTAAAAATCACGTTTGATATTTTTATAAATGCATCTCCGGATATGTCTGACATGAAAAGGTGACATGTTTTCGAACTCCCTCTTGAAAACTCTGGAAATGCATTTCTGGAAACTCTAATGGGATGTCAATAATCAATAAATTGATTGGATTTGTTTGAAGATCCATCTCCGAAATAACATTTTGTTTTAAAATAGAGTGACACTCATTTGAGGCGACATTCTATGAGGTAAAAGGTGCGCTCAGAGATACATCTCCGAAATTTGAGGGGAACATTTAGATTTTTATAGGGTGATTTTCCACCTCATAGTGTGGAATTAGTAATTTCCTTATCTTGTGTCCACCTCTAAGATTTTTTAATTGGACATTGATTTTCAAAGCCACACAACTCACCCCCCATTTTC